AATAAAGAGATAAAGACCCTGTGCACCTCATGGGCAGATCAGGGCAGCCAGATGAGCAAGGTGCAGAGGCCGACACAGAAGGAGGGTCCTGGGGCTGGAGATTTAGCTCAGCGGCAAAGCGCCTGCCTGGCAAGCGCAAGGTCGTGAGTTCGGTTCCCGGTACCGGAGAAAAAACAAAAAAAAAAACAAAACAAAAAGAAGGAGGGTCCTGCTGAAGAGGGTCTGGGAGGACAGCAGGTGGGGGCTGTGGTGTTTGAAAGGATCTGGGAGCTGGGTTGGTGGCGGGAAGGTTCGAGGTGCAAGGAATCCCTTACAGATTCAGGACAAGCCTGGGGCGGGGCCCTGATGACAGGTGTATGGAATGAAGCCCTGGGGAGTAGTAACAGGCACCGGGCCTGAGCGCTTCACTTCCAGGAACCTGTTTGCTGCTCGCAGAAGCCCGATCCACAGCTTCCGGGGAGGCCACGAAGGCACAAGTCCAGGGATGTTCTGTAGTCACATGACCTGGTCACACAGCCGGGGTGACAAAGCTGAGCCCTGCTCCTAAGCACTGGACAGAGCCGTCTCTTGTGAAGGAGACTGCAACAACCAGGCTAACGGCATTGCCCTGCCCCAGGGGAATGGGGGCCATGGTGGGTTCCTGATCCGTCCGCATCTCAGGTCACTACTTGAGGGGAGTGTCTGATATTCCTGGGTGTCTCCTGACCCTTCAAACAGAGATCTTCCATTTTAATGAGTGTGGGGAACCACTCCGACTGCTGCAAAGCTCAGGGGCGTCTAAGGCCACCTGAGGATGTGACCCTGCTTGTCTAGCGCAGGTACACAGTGGGACACAGTTATGTAACCACGACTTAACATTGGACAAACACGCACGCACTGGTTACACACTATGTAAGAATGTAAATACGAGACGACAACCTGTATAAGAATTATACAGTAAAGACGCAGGTGGCGCTTGTGCTCTTGCGCTCTGCTCTGCTCCACGCTGCTGCTGTTGTTGCTGATGTCTTGCACACGTGCGTCCTCTAACCTGGGGACCTCACCTGCGAAAATGTCCCTTGGGCCCTGAGTGGGCTGACACTAATTTCAACACCCTGCCCAATTCCCCTTCTCCTCTGCACCTGGATACAGATCACCAGACAGCTTAGGACAAGGCGGAGCCTTGGTTTCCTCATCGGCCAAAGGGGAGGGTCACAGTAGGTCTAGCCCTGCCCACTATAAGGTCGTGGGAAGACTCTTCTGTGTTTTGGAGGTGACCAAAAAGCAGAAGCAAGAATGGCAGAGACATCACCATCACCACGGGCACAGAAGGGCCCCTTGAGCCAGCTGTCTTGGCACACACCTGTAATCTCAGCTCTGGGAGGCTGAGGCAGGAAGATCAAAGATGGCAGCCTGGCCGAGGCAATTTAGTGACTTAATGAGATGCTGTTTCTAAAAAATGACAAAGGGGGGCTGGGGATTTAGCTCAGCGGCAAAGCGCCTGCCTGGCAAGGGCAAGGTCATGAGTTCAATTCCTGGTACCAGAAGAAAAACAAAAAACAAAAAACAAACCAAAAAAAAAAAAAAAAAAATGACAAGGGCTGGGGATGTAGATCAGTGTGAAGGCCCTGGATTCGGTCCCCAGGGCCCTACAAGAGGAAGGTGAAGAGGGAAGGAGGAGGAAGAGGGCCTCAGGGCTCCCTCCCCTCCCCCAGAAAGCCCAGCCTCACCCCATGACTCCTTTCCCCCTGCAAAGCCACAGAACGCTTTCCTCGGACCCCCAAATCCTGTCGTCATTCGCTTGGACGTACAGTGAGGGTGTCCTCAGTGCTGGCCCCGGCCCCAGCTGCCCTCTCCCCTCCCCGCTTCACAGCTTCCTTAATCCACTACTTGGGGATCACATTTTCTCCGTCCCTTGGCTTGTGGCTGGGGCTCATCCGAGCACTTGGACAGGCTGTGGTTATCTGTGTTCCAGCTTGCGGACTGAGAGCTCCCCCAGGGTTGTCGCTCTTCTGCTTGGGGCTCAACACAACCTAATCGATTCCTTTGAACCTGACATGCTGGAAGCAGGCCTCCATCCCCATGGCTGTAATCCTTTCTGTCTCCACAGGGTGGCAGCAAACCCCTCCAGTCACAGCCTCTGCCATCTGGGTGCAGCCCTCCCAGACAGCTGCTGGGACCAGATGCTCTGTGGGCTCCTGGGAGGGCAGGCCAGGCCCAAGAGCCCTTTCAGCTCAGTTTCTTCTTCATCCGACGTCTTCCCCACTCCAACGAAGGGGCACTTTGCCCTCCCACATGTTCCCTGCCTATTCCAGTGCATCTGCCTGCTGCATTGCTGTTCACCTGCGATCCTAGCACGTGGGAGGCTGAGGCAGGAGTGCAAGGCCAGCCTGGGCTACACAGTGAGTTCAAAGCTAGGCTGACCTACAGCGTGAGACCCTGTTTCAAAAACACTATACTGAAGAAAAGACCACTGGATCTTTGGAACACTTCACCGAGTTATTGGCTGTGCAAGGGATCGAACCCAGGACCTCGTGCATGCTAGGCAGGTAGCTTACTCCTGAGCCTAACCCTCAGAACAAACTTTTTAATATAGGGTGTGAGGTAGGGATCTAAATTCTCTTCTTTGAGTGTGATTCTCTCCAGTTGTGCTAAAGGTTGGGGATACATATCTCAGAGGCTTAGTTGCCTGCCTGGCAAGTGCAAGATCCTGTGTTTGATTCCTGGTACCTGCCAAAAAAAAAAAAAAAAAAAAATCCAGTTGTCCTAGCACCATTTGTTGAAAAGAATTCTTTCTCTATTGAATGGGCTTGGTACCCTCATTAAAAAAAAAAGTCCATCAATGTGAGACTCTCAGTGCTATTTGATTGGTATATATGTCTATCCTGGTGCCAATCACACTGTTTTAAATATTTATTTATTTTTTTGTTTGTTTTTGTTTTTTTATGGTACCAGGAATCAAACTCAGGACGTCGCGCTTGCCAGGCAGGTGCTGTGCCACTGAGCTAAATCCCCAGCCCCTTGTTTTAATTATTGTAGCTTTGTAGTAAGCGTGAAAATCAGGACGAGTGAGTCCTCCAACTTTGTTCTTTGTTCTCAAGGTTGTTTTACCCATCTGAGGTCAGATTTCATATACATTTTAGGACCACCTTATCATTTTTTGGGGGGGGGTTCCAGTACCGGAAATCAAACTCATGACCTCGCACTAGGCCACTCGCTGTGGCCTAAAGCAGTGAAATTATCTGCTCATGGTTATGTGACCGGAATGGCAGAGCCAGGGGTTCGAGCCCTCCCGGCTCCCACCCTCTGGCTGGGCTGTGGCACCCACACCCCGGGCCAGGGCTGCACTTCTACTTGGAGCAGCCATGAGCTCTGGGCTTGCACCTGGGTAGCACAGCTTGAAAGCGTGTGGCCAGCTGAGCCACCAGCTGTGTTAGGGACACCCCCTCCCACCCCATAAAGGCGACCCCCTGCTGGGGATGGGAGGGAAATCTTCGCTGTTCCTTGCTCCCCTGGGCCCCAGTTTTCACACCCAGCCTCAGCCTCACTGACCAGGGACTTGGTGGCCATGGGAGTGATGACCCCAAGATTCCACAATGAAACTCCGTGGATTTACCCAAGACAAAGCCAGCCCGGCCTGGGACTGGGCCCAAGGGTTTTCCTTTGTAGCTCTGTGCTGGTGCCCCCTCCCTTGCCATAGGCCTTCATTCAGCAGTTGCTAAGGGAGCACTGGAGCCAGACTTGGAGGCCAGGGGACAGACGCAGGACCAGAGTGGCCCAGGGCACCACGGCCGTGTGGTGGTGGGGGAGCCCCCTGGAGCAGGTGTGAGACCCAGAGAAAGGGGCTCAGGCACGAGGAGAAAAGGCATTGGCTGGCAGGGTCAGGCCAGGCCGTGGGCATTTTGGTTGTTTTGTTTTGTTTTGTTTTTTTCCAGTACCGGGAATCGAACTCACGACCTTGCACTTGCCAGGTAGGCAGTGTGCCAATGAGCTAAATCCCCAGCCCCTCTGTGGGCATTTTGGAGCAATAGCCGGGGCCAGTTTCAGCATCATGGTGGTGGCATATGGCGTACGGTGACTGACAGGCAAGCCACGTCCCTCAGCAACCAAGGCCCTTCCTCTCTCTGCCCATGACTCCTGTCAGGCTCTCCCAGGGAGCTCCAGAGGGCCAGGGGAGCAAAAGGGCCCTGTGCTTCTTTGAGGGCGGGGCACAGGTGGAGCTCCTGTGGCTGCTTCTGCTCCAGTCAGCGTCCTGTCTCCAGCCCCGCTTCCCAGCACCCCAGCGCCCCTCAGGAGTCCCGCTCTCCTGAGCTCCTGCCTCCCCAAGCCGCAGTGAGCCTTGACCTTCCATCCCACAGCGGCTGCCCGACTCCCTTGGCCCTGGCTAAGCTGGAGGTCAGCTGGGACCTCCAGCTCGTTGTCAATATGGCTGCCACGAAGCCAAGGCCCCCTCATCCTGTGGTGACCCTCAATAGCCCCGACCCCTGGCTTCAGGAGCTGGATCCAGAGGACAGTGGAAGAACAAGAGGCCTGGCCACGCATGGGTCCTGGCTGTGGGCCCTGGAAAGGGTCACCCAGTCAGAGCCTGTTTCCTCACCCTTAAGATAAAAGGAAAATAGTCCTTTCTCAGAGGCAACTCGTGAGAGGCACCCAGCCCCTGCGGCAGCTGGGAGGGCTTGTTACTCGTCTGCCGTGACGGTGGCATCCTGGGTTCCTCACAGGAGAACTGCATGGTGGCTGGGCCTGGCCACCAGCCTGGAGCTTGCTCCTGCCTGGCTAGGGGAGACCTGGGGCCTTTCCTTCCCTCTTTCCTCTTTTCCTGATGTCACATCTCTGCAACTAAGATGACGGTCACTAGCGCAGCCACCTGGCAAGGTGCTCGAGGACGCATGACTTGCCCCAGTGTGTGAAGACCTAGCCAGTGCCAGCTCACGGCACCATCTCAGGCTCTGGCCCGGGAAGGTCCCGCCTGCCCAGCGCCCCAGCCCCAGGACCTGACAAAGCCACCAGAACACTCGGGGTTCACTTTGGCAACAGGACTTTTATTCAGTCAAAATGAGGAGAGTGTGACAAAACCCAAGCCAGGCCAAGTGGGCCCCAGCCCCTCCTCTCAAAGGAGGGGCCAGGACTGAGGGGACACTGTCACTCGGGAGAAGGGAGGGACTGCCCTTCTGGAGTCCACATGGATACAACTCTAGTGTTCTAGGAAAACACCACAAATTCTACTTTCTTCAGCTAATTAACTAAAGTTCGGGGTGGGGTGTCCCTAGAGGGCTGTGGCGGTGGGGGTTGTCAGAACTTCATGTTCTAATCTCATCCTTAAGAAATACACTTATCTTTTCGTTTTCTTTTAAAAAAAAATTTCTTTCTGCTATTTTAAAAAATGTTCTGAGCGTAACCAAAAATAGGTATTTGTTTCCTTTTTTTTTTTTTCCTTCCTTCTTCTTTACCTAAGTAGTTCAAAGAACAACACAACAGAAAAAGAGAAACAAAAAGTCACAGGAACATGACCCTTAAACACACCTCGTATAAAAATAGCTCCTGGCCACATCTGCTCACAGCGGTGGTTTTACCGTCCAGCGGGTGGGCCAGGGTGACCGCGGCCCACGACACGGAGGCCTGGGCACCTCCGCCGGGGACACGCATGCCACTGTCCCACACGTGGTACATTCCGGGGGCCAGGCCAGGCCCGGGTCCTGCATGTGCAGGACAGGAGGCACAAACAGGGTGATGTCCCAGCCTCGGGGGGGGGCGGCCACGGGGAGCCCGGTGGAGGGTGGGCAGGCTGAGAGGGTCACACAGGAGTGGACAGGTGGCAGGAGACGGAGCACAGGCAGCAGGCCTGGGAGGTGGCGAGTTTGGGACAATTCAGACTTTGAGGAGCAAATTTCCTCTCATTTTTGGCTTCTTTCACATTTTCTCTCTGACCCATTCCATCTTTATTTCTGGCCCCCTTGGTCACTCTGCCTCCTCTCTTGGAGAGCTGCGGGCAGTGGAGGAGGAAGAGGAGGAGGGCCAGGAAGAAGGTCCAGTGACAGCATGGCCGCAGAGGTTCGGGCCTTGAGGTAGACAGTTTCTTTCACACCTGGACATGGGGGCTCGCTTTTTTTTTTTTTCTTTTTTCTTTTTTTTCTTAAACTCTGGACAACAAGGGGGTGGGAAAGGAGCCCACGGAGGGGCTTGAGGTAGGCGTGCATTCGGCTCTGAGGGGCAGGGCCCGGGGTGCCGTCCCCTCCCCGAGGACATTCATTCCGGCTGAGGTAGGTGCTGAGAGCCAACACAGCAAAATCCATCCTGAGAAAACGAGGTCGGCCAGGGGACCATGTCGGGCCCGGCGCAGCAGGGGCAAATTTTTGGAGTCTAATTCACCTTCCTTTCTCTTCTTTCTCTCTCTTTTTCAGTTTTGATTTTTAAAGGAAAACTTTAGCTCGGTTCCAAGTCACGTGGGTGCCAGGCAGCAGTGGCCAGACATCAGCCAGGGACGGGGGCTCCTGCAGGGACCCCTCATCTCCCAGAGGGGTCCCCTCCTGTAGTCAGGACAGAAATGCAGGGCCACCCCCAGGGCCGTCTGACTCCCACATGACAGGAAAATCTTGCCTGTGACCTGAGAATCGGGGGGCTTCCCGCCTCCAGAGCTGGCCAGACACTGGCTACTGTCCCAGGCGAGCTGGCTGGGCAGCCTGTCCTTCACTGAGGAGACCGTGGCCTCCGTCCTGGGGTGGCCGGACAACCACGGGGTCCACGGCCTCTGGTGTCCTCCCGTCCGGAAGGCTGAGCCCCTGAAGTGGCAGCATGGACAGCTGGGTCTCCTCACACATGGCAGGGCCTGTGGGGTCCTGCGGGGACAGGGCCAGTCACACAGGTGTCACACGAGGAGGGCCGGTCTCACACCGCATCCCCCCACCCCAGGCTTAAGGCCTCAGGGCCTCGCTGCCTGGCTTGGGTTTTGGGACCAGAGCAGATCTAGAGTTTGGCTAAGGCTGGTGACGAAGGCCGTGGCCGCCATGCTGGTGGGGCAGGAAGGGGACATGGCGAGGGGTGTGGGCACTCACAGTGGGCCTGGGGCTTGGCCACCCTGCCGCTCCTGCCGGGGGACACAGCTGCTCCAGTTCCTTGGTGTCCACGTGCTTCTCCTCTTGCCCCAGCTGGCCCCGCTCCCCCCGGGCCACGCCATTTGGGGCCAGGACACCAGGGTCCCTCTGGCCCTGGGGACCCTGGGGAGGCGAGAGCTGATTTTCTACATCCTTACACAGGAGGACCCTACGGGGTGAGAAAGACTTAGGCGGGGCAGGGCCGGAGGACAGGGCCAGCCCCAGGCCCCCCTCCGAGGCCATCTCCGCCCCCAGCCAGCCCCCTCCCAGCCCAGGACCCACCTGCCCCTCTGGCCGAACAGGAGGAAGAGGACACAGAAGATGATACAGGTGACCCCGATGTGGATGCCAATGACGATGCCCGTGGTGGATGTCTGGTTGGCAGCTTCCTCCTTCCGGCAGTCGCAGGGTGGGCTCAGGGCTGAGGGGAGAGGAGGGGCAGGTTGGGCTCGAAGCACCCCCAGACATCCGGCCTTTGAGGAGTCCTTCTCTGCGACCCCTGCAATTTTGCCTCCGTGACCCTGGCCCAACCTTTTCTGTTCTTTTTACCAACTATGAAGCACTAACTCTGTGCCCAGTACTGGTAATAGCACTTTTTCTGTCAGCCTCAAACTTGCAATCCTCCTGCTTCAGCCTCCCGAGTGCTGGGCTTAGAGGATAGCACTTTACATGGACTGCTTCAGCCTTGCTGTATCTTTACAAAGTAGGTATTATTATGTCTGTTTTATAGAGGACAGCCCCCTTATCCTCTGCCTGCTTCGGTCCCCTCGGCCCCATCCTTCCTGGGTCCCAGCCTCAGTCCCATACTCTCACCTGTCTTGTCCGATGCCCCCCGGAGGGACACGAAGCGGACCGTGGCATTGCCGTCACCGTGCTGGTTGTAGGCGAGCAGCTTCACCTCGTACACGGCGCTGGGGTCTGGGGAAGTGGGTGGTGCTGAGTGACCCTCCACCCTGCCCCCCAGGCACTCCCTGCCCCCTGCATCCCGCCCAGGGGAGCCCCCTCACCAAGCTGGCTGAGGTTGTAGGAGGAAGCAGTTCCGGGCAGCAGGATGGGGCCGGTGAAGGAGGCCTTGCCCGCCTGGCGGTAGAAGAGTTTGAAGCCGCCCTCGTGCTGGGCCAGCCGGGGCCAGGGCTCCCACAGCAGCTGCAGGGAGGAGCCGCCCAGGACCCTCACAGAAAGCAGGGGTGGGGCAGGAGCTTGGGGTGAAAAAGAGGCCACGGTGTGAGTACTCAGCCAAAGCTCTGCCTTTCCACCTCCCTCCTGGACCCCCACAGCCTGACAGTTCTCTGGCCGCTGGCCCTGGGCATGCATTTGCCCACAGGGTACTTTCCCGTGCATTAGAAAAGAGTGCCCCTTCCCACAAGAATATCCAGCCCCTGTTTAGTCTCAGGGCCAGACCCCTGGTGCAGTGCACAACCTAAACATGTGTACCTGGGGTCCTACTCTGATATCCCGGTCTCACCTTCTCCCAGGGTGCTGGCCAGGGTGGGGATGGAGGCTGAGCTGGCCCCCCTTGGTGTGTAGGCCTTAATATAGAAGCTGTAGGCTGTGGAGGGCTCCAGGTCGCTCACCAGGTGCTGAAAGGTGCTCTTGCTGACTGCTTCCTGATACTCCAGCTCCGGAGGATCTGGCCAGGCAAAGGGCGGGCAGGGGAGTGTAAGGGATGTGCGGGAGTCTTGCCAGCACTGGTGACACAAGGGCAGCCGGGTGCAGGGCGGAGAAGGGGCGGGATTGCCGACCCACCCGCAGCCCTCCTGATGTGCAGGACGTAGCCTATGATCTCCTTGGTGTTGACCAGGGGCTCGCTCCAGGACACTCGGACCTCGGTGGACGACACAGAGGCGGCCCGCACATTGCGTGGGGGCCCGGGGAGCCCCTCGGCCCACAGCACCGTCAGCCTGGCACTGGCCTGGGACGAGCCCGCACTGTTCTCCGCCACACACTGGTAGATGGCCTCATCCTCGGGGCCGATGCCCAAAATGGTCAGCGTGCTGCAGGGAGGAGGGAGTGTTCAGGGCCTCAGACCCCAGCATGCCCCAGAGTCCCTCCAGAAGACAGATCTGGTGGAGGAGTCCTGCCAGCAAGGGGCAGGCTTGGGGTTCAAATGTGCATCTCCAGCCTGGTGTGGCAGCGCACCCCCATCATCCCATCTCTTAGGAGGCTGAGGCAGGAGAACTGGCAAGTTCGAGGCCAGCCTGAGCTACATAGTGAGCTCAAGGCAGCCTGAACTGCATAGCGAGACCCTGTCTCAAAGAACAACAGCAACAAAAAAATCCACACCTCTATCCTCCCCATTCAGTCCTCTGCTCTGGCGGGAGGTACAATCTACAGACCCCTTGTCTCAGGTCCCCGGGTGTTACCCGGCACTCAGGACATACTACCTGTTGTTATTCTTGAGTCTCACATGGCCTCCGGGCCCCAGCACCTCCCCGTTCTTCAGCCACGTGACGTGGGGCGGTGGCTCCCCCTGCGCCTGGCAGGTGAACATGGCCGTGGTCCCTGCCGGCCTGGAGATGGACTGCGGGTGCTGCACGAACTCGGCTGGCGCTGGGGCACAGAGAAGAGCGAGGGGTGGCGGGGGTGGAGGTGGGCCCACCCTTCGCTGCAGCCACCCCTGGGGACCCCTTCAGCTCCTTCCTTCGCCCACCCCGGGCAGACCCAAGACAGGACACTCTGTTAACGACTACCCAAAAGAGTGACATGTGTGTACCGAAGGCGATCAAGCTGAGCTCCCCGTTCAGGAAATTATTAAATAAATAAACGTGCTAATAGGTTTGGCTGTACCTCCCGGGTGGTAATGACGGAGATGGATGAGCCCTGGATCCTGCCCCTCCTTGGTCCCCAGACTCAATCCCAGGCCTCGAGCCTCCATTAACACCCAGAAATGGAAAGCTCTGCCACCTTCATTTGGACGGATTAAGAGCACCCAGAAAGCCAAACAAACGCACTGAAGCTCCTGATTCCCCCATTCCCATGCCTTCCGCTGTCTCGAGTGGGGAGCAGCCCCAGGACACCCCTGGAAATGGGACGGCAAGCCCAGCTCACAGGGACGGCTGAGCCCAGGGCTGGGGTGGGATGGGGGGTTCTGCATGCGAGGTGGGCGGGGCTGTGCTGGGTGTGAAAATGACAGGCAGGCAGGTGTGAGCGTGGCAGTGCCACACGTGTGAATGAAACGGCACGCAGAGGAGGGAGGTGTGTGACGAGGTGGGGGACAACCAGCAGAGACAGAGTTGCAATGACTCCTGGGGTGGAGGGCAGGGTTGGCACCAGGGCGCTGTGTCCCCAGCATGTGCTCCTGCGGTGCAGAGCTGCTGCCTTTGCCTGGCCTGGGGCCTGAGGGCAGGCACGGGACAGGGGTGACACAGGGTGCTGAGGAGGCGGGAACAGGGCTCCCTCCTCCCCGCGCGGATGTCGTCCTACCTTGCACCACCAGCCGGCCCTGAGCCGTCCTCCTCACCCGCGTGCCCGGCCTGTTGGCCGCACACACGTAGACGCCCGAGTGCTGCACCGTCACATCGGAGATGATGAGGTTCCCCGTGCCCAGCACCTGGATGCCCTCCACCCCAATGGGGCGGCCATCTGAAAAGGGGGGGCCGAGCCTGGTCAGAGGAGGGGGGCGTCCTCCACCAGCCTTTCAAGAGCCCTGATCTCTCTTTCTCTTTCTCTCCTTCCTTCCTTCCTTTCTTTTTTAGTACTAGAGATTGAACCCAGGGCCTTCTCACTAACCTACATCCCCAGTCCTTTTTTATTTTGAAACAAAATCTCATTAAGTCACTAAGCTGCCAGGCTGGGCTCAAACTTAGGATCCTCCTGCCTCAGCCTCCCACAGTGCTGGGATTACAGGCACACATCACCACTTCTGGCTAAGGAAGCCGCATTCTTTGAAGCAACACCTTCTCTGCCTAGAAACAGCAGAGAGAAGGGCAAAACCCTCCTGCGCCGCAGCAGGGACTGGGATCTGACCCCAGCGCCACCTCTGACTCACGGCTGACCTGCAAGCCTCCTCTCCTGTTTCCCAAGCCATACAGGATGGGCTTTGGATTCAATTACCCAGCCTGGTACTTCTCTCTTTAAAAAAGTTCCATGTTCAAATACCCATTGCACTCTTGGGTGCTGGCTTGCAATGGCCACTGATAGGAACGCTCTGAGAAGTCCTGCAGTCAAAAGACCTGGTGAACTTGGTTTCCCAAACTTGTCAGGCCATGGAGGCTTTCTTTCCCTCCTGATGGATCACGCTTTGGGTAATGTGGGACCAGATGGTCCCTGCAGGGCCCAGTGGCTGCTCCCGATGATGAGGCCACTCTTTCCAGCCTCTCCCAAGGACCCAAGCCCTCCCCCCACCCCAGGATCAGATTAGCACAGTCAGAACACAAGGAGACAGCTCCCCATTCAGGCCCTGAAGTGGTGAAATCTACTCCATTATCCCGCCTGGGGCCCCTCCTTCCCCGTCACTCAGCTGCTACAATGTGGCAGTGTCCCTGTGAATGCGACCCCACCCCACCCCTCACAGTCTCCTTCCCCCGGTGACCTCTCGGCTCAGACAATGTGGGCCCATCTGCACCCTTTCTTTTCTTCCTTCAGCTGCCCAGGGATTTAGGCTGGGGGACTTAGGGGGCCAGGCTAGAGGCTGGGGGGCTCACAGTGCGGTTGAGAGTGTGAGGGACCTGGGACTGCACGGCCGGGGGTGTGGCCAGGGGACAGAGGGCAGGGGCTGGTGCAGGCAGGGGTCCAGGGCCGTGATGGAGCAGGATGCCAGGGTAACCCAGGGAGCTAAGCCTGCCCCGTAGGGGGAGGGGAACGGGACAGCAGGTTGGGGACCCAACCCGCCCCAGGCCGCAGGAGGGAACTGACCCCCACGGAGAACAGACAGGATTTCTGAGTCCCCCCAGGGCCGGCGATGGGACCCCAGATCGGCCCTCCCCAGGGGCCAGGCTGCGGGCCGAGGCTCACCCAGGCGGCTCCAGGACACAATGGGGCGCGGGTTTCCCGTGGCGACGCACTCCAGCACCGCGGTCTGGTGCACCGTCAGGGTGAGGTTCTCAGGCCCCACCAGGATGGTTGGCTCCTTGTAGGCCCCAGAGCCCGAGCCTGGAGGACAAGCGCACATTCCCTCACTCCAGGGGAACTTCCTCCTCACCCCACCCACCGCTGGGACAGACACCAGGACGGGGGCTTGGGGGAAGCCCAGGGCTCATGGGGGCGCGCGTCCTCCCGCACTGCCAGCCGCAGCCGAGCTCGGAGCCCGCGCTAGGTAAGCTCTGCGCATGCGCTTCGAGGCCAGCGCGCCCTCACCCGACACCGTGAGCCGGGCCCCGTGGCTGATCCGGACACTGGCGATGTTCGAGGCCACACAGTGGAAGACGCCACTGTCCTCGGCCCGGAGGCCTGTGATCTGCAGGACACCCTTGGGCAGCAACGTGTACCTGGGGACAGGGGCAGCATGGCCGTTGGCACGGTGGGCCACTGAGTATCAGAGACACAGCCCAGGCCCTGTGCGCTGTCCCGGACGCTATCGTCTCGGAGAGGTCCTTGAGCCTAGAGTGCAGGCCACGGTGTCCCAGGGCGGAGCTGCAAGCGGGCTCTTGTCCCTGCCCCGCGGAACTCACCTCTGGTCGTCCGTGTCGATGGGTACTCTGTTCTTCTCCCACGTGATCAGGGGCTTGGGAAGCCCGTGGATTTGGCACTGGAAGCGGGCCACACCGCCTTCCTCGCCCGAGGTGGCCTGCGGGTGCACGTGGAAGTCCGACATGGCTGGGAGAGAAGGCAGGAGGGTGAGACCTACTGGGGAGGCCAGGACGACCACGCTTCAACCAGAACAGCTCCGGCTGTGTGCACAGGGGTCCTCCAGAACTGACCCAAGAAGGCCTCCCAGAGAAAGCCCTACCCCAAGTCTGCTCCCCACTTTGGCGGCTGCTTTTGGATTTATTTTCACCAACTCCTCCTACAGGGTGCAAGACCTGAGTGTTATGCTCCACATTTTACCAAACGGGAAACTGAGGCCCGGGGAGGGGACTGATGAGTCCAGTGTGGCCCAGCAGGGACATCACGAATTTGTCCAGCCCTGGTTACCAGGGTCCCTTCTCCTTGCCTTTTGTACCCCTCTTCCCTGGCTCTTCCACAGTTTCTCCATGTGCCCAAGAGGGTGGTGCACCGCCCAGGGAGACAAGCTCTCAGAAGACGTGGAACCTACCAATCTACATTTCAATGTGTCATAAATATTCAGGGACCGCTCCACCTTTTGGGGGATCTGAACTCGCTGGTCTGGTGCACAGGGGCTGTGACAGGACCGCACCCCCGCCGTGCCCCTCAGCATGAGGCTGGTTAAGTGTCCTCCTCCCCCTCATCATCCCCATGCCCAAGCCCTTCCCTGGGAGGCTGGGGGAAGGGCCCCACCCACCCGGGCTCCCAGCTTCGGGACCAGGGCTGCAATTGCATTAAAATCCACTTTGCTTCGAGTGCGGAAGGCGGCACGCCATCTGTCCAGGCGGGCGGCCCCTCCCTCAGGCACTCCATCAACTGGGACAGTTGCTTCCCTCCCCGAAGGAGCCCTCCCTCACAGCAGCGGGGACACTGCAGCTTGTCACTGCTCCTGCTCCGGGCTCCCTCCTCACAGCCCCAACACCCTGTCTCAGGCCTCCTCGAGCCACAGGCCTTCTGTGGACTCCAGGCCGCTGGAAAGGCCAGGGCCTTTGTGCCCTTCCACCCAGAGTCCCTGGGGGCTGGCTCCTTTATGGCGCATTCTCCATCTCATTTGCATGTGGTTCATTAAATATAAACATGCATAAAACCCCCGCCCTGCCTCCTCCTCTTTGGGGGCCTCCTGGGAGTGCAGGGATGGGTGTGTGCCTTTGTACACATGCGTGTGGGGATGTGCCGTGTGCATGTAGCCTGGGTGGCACCTGGCTGGCAATGGGGGCTTGCATCCGGCAGCTCCTGTGGCTGGTGTGTGACTCTGGTACTGTGTGCATTTTCCAACACGCATGTTCCGTGCAGGTACAGCTCCTAGAGACAGTACCTGAGCCCTGGGGTGGGGGTAGCCCAGCGGGTGCCCCCACCAGCGTGGTGAGAGGACCCCCAGCAAGCACCGGCTGTCACTGGCCCAGTCTCAGGCCAAAGCCCTGCAGGCCATCCCGGGAGAAAGGGGGTGGAGGGGGCTCAGTGGCCAAAGGAGCCTCTTTAGTGTCTGTACCCCCAAACCCCAAGAAGGCTGGTCACAGGCTTGGGGAGTGTCAAGGACACACGGGTCTGCATCTGTGCACCCCCCATTTGAGAGCTGAGGAGCTGCTTGCTCCCTCCTCCCTCCAGCTGGAGAGGAGCTCGCAGCTCCCCAGGGACCGGGGCGGGACTAATGGCTCTGCTGACTGCACCTCATTAAGAAACCGAAGCCTTTTGTGCATCTGGCCCCCACTCAGGGCTCCCTAGCGGCACCCAGCGCTGGGAGCTGGCCCGAGGACAGAGACCGGGAAGGGGCTGCTGCTTCTTGGTGTGCAGAGGGGAGAAGTCTCGTCTCCTGAGACCCCACCACCTACCCACCCGACTAACCGTGACAATAGCGGACACAGTGTGGTTGAGTGTGACTCAGCAGACGGACGCTAGCGCTAGAAGGAGCCAGCGGGATGGAGGGTGGTGTTCCTCATCCTGGTATGGCCAGGTCCTGGGGTTCCCTGGGGGCCCCCCAGCCCCATCGTCCTCCCATCAGAGCAACCTGTCCGTCAGTGGTCCTGGGTGCTGTTCTGAGTGCTCGGAGAGTAGGTTTGTCTTTTAAAGTCCACTTCAAAGCAAATTCTTTCATTTTGCAAAGGGGAAACTGAGGCCTTTGCTGGGGTGTCTTTGTGTCTCCTCAGCAAGTTTTAGGTGGCCCCCGAGAAGACTGACCGCTGCAACAGCTTCTTCTCTATGGTTAAAGAGGAGGCAAGGAGGCCAAGGGACAGTTCCTAACACCACCCCTGGGGCCCCTACTGGCCTCACACACGGCTCCATTTTCCCTCCGTTCCCCACACTTTGATCAGCCCTGCATACCCCTTGGGGAGCCCGGGCCTCGCTTGGGGACCAGGTACACAGCGTACACAAAGGTCCTTGTCCGGAGCCACAGCCACAGGAGGGCGACTCAGTTTAGCCACCTTCAGCTCCTCCACACGCTCCTTTTTCTTTCTCGTGTTTTTTTTTTTTTTTTTTTTTTTTGGTTTTTCTCTGGTACCGGGAACCGAACTCACGACCTTGCGCTTCCCAGGCAAGCGCTTTTGCCGCTGAGCTAAATCCCCAGCCCCTCTTTCTCGTGTTTTTGAGACCAAGTTTTTCACTATGTAGCCAAGGCTGGCCTCAGACTCACAGTAATCCTCCTGCCTCAGCTTCCCGAGTGCTGGGATTACAGGCCTGCACCACCAGGCCCTGCCCATGAGTTCCTTTTTCCTTGCAAGGCTGGGGAAGAAGGATCTCAAGGTCACTCGGCCTCCCTCCAGTCTCAGAATGGAAGATGCTTGGTTCACAAGTCTGTTCTTGCTCTGGTTTGAGCCAGGTAGCTGGGCTGGGGCCAGGGACTGTCCCTCACACTGTCTTTCTAGAGAGAGGGTCCCTGGGTAGCTGAATGGAGGGCTGGACCTCTGAGGTCTCTGAGCAAGTCACCCCGGGGTGCTATCATGATGTTGCCTGCTGATGCTTTATACTCCCGCTGACACTAGTTGGCCTGGTGGGGGCAGTTTTGGGTCCCTCGCTTCAAGCTGGGGGATTGGACCGGGCAACAGGCACTGGTTGGGAGGCTCACTGGTGGGAGGGGCAGAGAAAGCAACGGGAAAAGGAAAAAGAAAGCATCTTTGTCCCCAAGCAATCTAGCAAGGAGGCTCCCAGCCCTGCCGGGCCGTTGGCTGGGCTGCAGGGAGCAGGACCCGGCAGGAAGCGGTTCCTGGACACCCCTATAAATTACCCTGAGGGGAGGAGTCTCCTGAGAGCCAGATCTAGGGCAGCTCAGGGAGCAGGGTAGGGACTTCGCTCCTGGTCCAGGACCTCTGGCAAGGTCAGGCCTGGATCTGATTAGACAGGCTCCAGACAGGCAGCAGGGCCACCGAGGGTCGAGCCAAAGCGCTGGAAGGAAGCTCCGGCCTTCCACGCTTCAGCCACAGCCAGACTCCTGTCCAGCATGTGATGATAGAGCCCTGTGGTCCTTGTGGATGGAGAATTCAAAACACATCCTTTGAGAAAGCTGGCGGCACTGGAGGTGTGAGGCACAGACTGCCCCTGCTATGCAGCCATTCAAAAGGAGCTACTGTGTACCTGAAGAGGAATGCTTCCTAAGAAGTATCTGTCCCTGCCAAGGACCAGGGACCACAGCACCTCCTCAGACAACTCCTCAGACAACTGCATAACATTTCTGCAGCTGGGCATGGTGGCGCATGCCTGTAATCCCAGCACTCAGAAGGCTGAGGCAGGAGGATCTGTTGTGGTGGGTTCAAGACCAGCCTGAGCTACAAAGTGAGCTCAAGACTAGCCTGAACTGCATAGCGAGACCCTGGCTCAAAAAGACAAAAAAAACCAAAAAACAAAAACCCCCAAACATTTCTGCTTACACAAGATCCCACTGCTACCCACTGGCGTAGTATTCACAGGGGGTCAGTTCCAGCATCCCCTAAACGTACCCAAATCTGTGGATGCTCAAGGCCTTTATATAAATCACTGTAGTACCTGCATACCACCTATGCACATCCTCTTTTATAATTTTAAATCTTTTCTAAATTATTTCTTTTTTTTCTAAATTACTTCTGATACATAAGTGCTATGAAAATTGTTCCTATATTGCATTATGTAGAGAATAATGGCAAAAAGTCTGTATAAATGCTCTTTTTTTTTTTTGGCCATGCTGGAGGCCAAGGCCTCCCACATGCTAGGCAAGTTCTCTACCACTGAGTTAGACACCCCCAGGTCCCACTTTTTGAAAAAATATTTCTAATCCATCATGGTTGAATCTAGAATTCGGAACCTGCAGATAAAAAAAGCCAACTGTGCAGTGGCCGACTGGGAAGTACTTCGTATGTGATCAGTCCAAACTGAGGTAGACCATCAGCATAACACAGACATTTTGAAAACGTGGTATAAGCCGTGTATGGCGGTGCACACCTGTAACAGCACTCAGGAGGCTGAGACAGGAGGATTGCTGTGAGTTTGAGGCCAGCCTGGGCTACATAGTGAGTTCAAGCCCACCCTGAATTAGACAGTGAGATTCAGTCTAAAAAAAAAAAAAAGAAAATGTAATATATTTAAAAAGAGGCTGAGTATGGTGGCAAACGCCTGTAATCCCACCATTCGGGAGGCTGAGGCAAGAGGATCGTTGCAAGTTCGAGACCAGCCTGGGCTACAAAGTGAGCTCAAGGCCAGCCTGAACTGCAGAGTGAGACCCTGTCTCAAAAAGACAAATAAATAAATAAATACAACATAGGTGGACCTTGAGGATAGCATGCAGAGAGAAGTTGGTCATAAAAAAGACAAATTCTACTTCTATATGAGGTATCTAGGGTAGTCAAATTCATAGAGACAGAAAGAATAATGGTTGCCAGGGGCTTGGGAGAAGGGTAAATAGAAACTTATGTTATGGTTTAATGGGAATTATTGGTATTATTATTATTAATAATATTGTTCAACAGGAAGCAAAAGTTTCATCTTGCAGTTTTACAAGAGTCCTAGAGATGTACGGTAGTGGTCACACAACCATGTGAACATACTTAATGCCCCAGAACTACGCACACTTAAGAACAGCTAAGATA